TAAGTTTACCTTTATAGTTTTGTCAAAATATAATTTTTTACTAAATAAACTGTTTTTTCATTAAAACAGCCTATGATTCCATTAATTCGCACAATACTGTAACTTTGAAACGAATCTTGCAGTACCTATGGAAATATCTATGAGGAAAAAAGACACCATTGAAATCTACAATGTACAAGTAAAACTCTATAGAGCAAAAGAAATATTTTTTTGGGTTCTTTGGAAATAATGGCTATTAGCAAAAAGTTCCAAATATTATACAGTAAAACCTCGATATAACGGACCTATATTTAACGGACTTCGGATATAACGGACAAAAAATCCGGTCAAATGCCAAAAAAAAATAAAAACGTACTCCTAATTACGATATAACAACGCGTAGGTTTATATGATTATATGGGTGATTACCACACTGGTTACTCACCACTCTACAGCAGTTCTAGTTTATTCGTTATGAATGAACACATTTAGTGTACGCCAGTAAATAAGTTAAAATTTTTGCAATCCTACCCTATAAATATGGACAAACGGAAAAGAAACAATCGAAATCGATCAATCAAAATCTAGAGATTCTACAAAAGTTGGAGTCTGTGTCTGGAACCTCTGCTGAAATTAATATCAGCAAACCATTTGGACATAAAGACACGGAATCATTAATAAAAGAGTTTACAGCGAAGCTTCAAGTGCACCAAAAGAAGAAATAGAACTACACTCACCGGCAAAATTAACGGAACACCTTAAAATTGGGACATGTTAGATGTCTCGAATTTCCTAAACCTGTTGTCCGATTTTAGTGATTTTTTTAGTATGTTATAGGTATATTATTTAAGAATATCGATGTAATAATATTGTTGCTAGACAGGTCAATGTCATTTTATACCGGGTGTAACAATCCTACTGTGTTTTTTCCTTAAAGTTCGGAACACCCTGTGGAATATTCTAGCATATATAAAATATTGAAATTAAAACTTAATTATAGCCTCAGGCTTTCTTAACATTTCTTTTTTGATTCATTTGCTTATGTTTGATAATAAAAAAGTTAGGTACGTTAACAATTAGCCATGTTTTTCATCAATAAATCCTCATTTTCTGCTTAGTTTAAAAACAAGCCTAAAGTAGGCTATGAGAAGTTAACAATTTAATGCACACACCGGCAAATTTAAAGGAACCTGTTATTAATGCAATATTTCTTTATATTTGTATTTTATAGACTATATCTACATAGCTTTGAAAGCTCCTTGTCACAAGAAAGTCTTAAATGTCAAAATGTCAAATTAATTTGTTTATTTGTATTGTGTTTTACATTTTACAGTCATTCTGTCTGTTCATAACAAGTACAAACTTGTATTTAATTGAGCGCACAATAAGAAAGAGACTTAAAGAAGCCGGTCTCAAGTCATATGTGCCAATAAAAGCTCCCAGACTCCAGAGACACCATCGTTTAGCACGACTACAATTTGGTCGAGTACATCAAAATTGGAATGATAACCACTGGAGTCAAATTCTCTTTACGGACGAGAGCCGTTTCTGTGTAAATTACATCGACGGTAGAGAAAGATTGTATTAACGCCAAGGAGAACGAAATGCCCCTTTCAATTTTACTACGACCGTACCTTTTGGTGGAGGTTCAATTATGGTGTGGGGCGGTATATGTTTGGGAGCAATAACAGAGTTAGTGGTGATTGATGGTGGAGCATTAACAGCAGATAAGTATATCAGAGATATTCTCCAAGACCATGTGGTACCTTTTTCACCATATATTGGCGAAAATTTTATTTTATAGTGTAAGAGTGTAAGTGTAAGATATTTCTTATTACATGTGGGTATAACAACGATGAATTGGCCAGCTTGTTCCCCAGACCTAAACCCGATAGAGGATATGTGGGACATGCTAGGCAGAAAACTTAGGGCACTGCTATTCAAAACAGAGAAGAAGTCACAATTGCAAAAGATTGAGGAATGGGAGAGGCTGCCCAACAACTGATCGATAGCGTTATCAGAAGTATGAGAAGACGAATAACTGCAGTTGTAAGGGCTCGTAGGGGAAACACACGCTATTAAAGCCAAAAAAATGCATAAAAAAACAATTTAAGTTCAAACTGTACAATAAAGTTAATGCATTTAAAATCCGTATTTTGTTGAGTCTGACATCTTTGTGTTTTATTTCTTCTTAAACAGGTTTTATATTGTACTACCATTGTAATATAAATTCAAAATACTTCACCAACATTCGTATTATGATATTATCTAAACAGTATATAGACTAGAGAGAAAATACTCAGATTTTATGGTTGTTCCTTTAAATATGCTGGTGAAACTAAGAAGAAAATGAGCATTTATTGATGAAAAACATGGCTAGTTGTTAACGTACCTAACTTTTTTATTATCCAACACAAGCAAATGAATCAAAAAAGAAAATGTTAAGAAAGCCTGAGACTATAATTGAGCTTTAATTTCAATATTTTATATATGCTAGAATATTCCACAGGGTGTTTCGAACTTTAAGGAAAAAACACAGTATGATTGTTACACCCGGTATAAAATGACGTTGACCTGTCTAGCAACAATATTATTTCATTGATATTCTTAAATAATATACCTATAACATACTAAAAAAATCACTAAAATCGGACAACAGGTTTAGGAAATTCGAGTCATCTAACATGTCCCATTTTTAAGGTGTTACCGTTAATTTTGCCGGTGAGTGTATTTAGGCAAAAATTAGTGGAACATATCAGTAACGAAATGCTATTAGAATCTCAGATTTGTCATGCTGATGAAACTGGTTTGTTACGACGTACTTTACCTGAAAGCACACAAGCCTCCAAATATTAAAAATACAATTATAGAAGAAAAATCAGCAAAGACAGGGTATCAGCACTGTTTTGTGCTAACGCCGATGGATCGCATAGATTGACTCCTGTAATGGTTAGCAAAGATATAATGCATCATCCGCCCGTTTCATATTATAGCTCCAAGAAGTGGAAGATGGTTCACGTCGTTTTTGACAAAAAAAATACAACATCGCTTTTTCAACCCATGCATCAGGGTATACTTTTGGCAACCAAACGAATATATCGCAGAAATTTTTAGACGAAGTAATGGTTGTATTGCACGATGGAGATATTGCAGAAGATACAAGAGGGCAGCGGACCTTGCAAAACTTAAGGTCTCACAATTTAAAATCAACAATTTTTAATTTTGCTGGAGCATGGGAGGAAGTGAAAGAGCAAACATTAAAAAAACGGTTGGAAGAATTTGTTTGATGCCCAAGATACACACACAGATTTAGAAGCTCTGGAAGTTACTGATTTCTGTAGGACAATACATAATAATGCCGGAGAACATGTATCTGAGGAAGATGTTTTACAATGGCTAGAAGTAGATGAAGTGACCCTGGGTATAACATCATGATTGAAAGTGAAATAGCAGATGAAGGTGTGAACCTAAAAAATGAGGATGGAAGTAAAGATAGCGAAAAAGACGACAAAACAACAAAAAATGAAGTTCTCAGAAGTAAGATCGCATCTCGACGATCTTGTAACATTTATTGATTATTCATCAGATAAATTCCTTTTTCAAAACAGGACTACTGACAGCAAGCGTGTCGATATCAACAGCAACGTCACTTCACGACGAACGTCCGAAAACAATTAAATAGAAATTTGTTTGTATTTTGTATTTTTTATATAATATATATAAATACGCTACATACATATTTAAAAAAAGTTTTTGATGTATTTCAAACATATTTTTATACAACGGACTTTCGGCTTTATCGGACGCCCTGTCCCCCCAAGTAGTCCGTTATATCGAGGTTTTACTGTACTTCCATAATTGCACCGTTTTCAGAGTGTACAAAAACTACAGGAGCTTCAAAACTAATTCGTGCCTGACTTTCTTAGATCTTATCCAAACACAGCGACAGGAAAAATGATATATCAAGATTTTTGATAGTTCAAAGCGAAACTATTTCCACCAGATGAAGGCAGTTATGTGACAAGCACATAAAAGTTTACAGGAATTTAAAAAATTTGACCGATCAATCGCTTACGATCCTTCAAATGTCCCATAAAATTTCTAAATTGTTTTGACCCGAACTGGCAATATGCCATTTCAGTAAACGATCCATTAATGTGGGACAATTTCGGGGGCTAATATCACAACGGTAGTTCTTTAGTATCGTTCTGAAATTCTGAATTAATTTTGAGTTAGACCCTACACGTCGGAAACCATTTTCAAAAACGAAATAACCAAAGTTTTAATAAAATAGACCCAATTTCTCAATTATGGTTAAGATTTTTATCGATAAAACTTTTAAATTACTTTATTATCGAATATCCTCGTATAGTTTTTCCTAAAAACGCCTTTTCGTAGTCCTACTGACAGATTAAAGGTATTTTGTTACTATAGAAGTAAAGGTGTGTGGACTAGGATATCAATTTAACGAAAATATAGGAACCGAGAGTCTTTGGACCTCAAAAAACAAATTTAATTTGCCAATGGACCTTTTTTGACATCTTAATACTATCTGCTAAGAATAAAGCACACAAAATAAACACATATAGCACCTATAATGAAATAAAATGCCAGCCTACATGTCCAAAATTTGATATTGCCAATATTTAAAATAATTTTAATTTTTATCAAAAAAATTTTTTGTTTATAAACATATTACGATAACGCAACTTACGTAAATTATTATCCGTTAAACCTTTATATCAATTGCAATTGTGATAAAAAAAATATGAATTAATTCTGGCCTACATTTAAATTTATTCAATAAAATATAGGTTAGGAACGAGCAAGGCGAATAACTGACCAATTGCTTTTTATCAATTTTTCAATTAGAGCTCAATGAAGTATAAAAAGCCGGCTAAAAAATATTTGAATATATATTAGGTTCATTAGTGTTGGAAGTTTATACTAATGTTAACCTTGCTAAATGTTAAGTACACAAGGGTTATTTAATACAAAAACTAAATTTGTGTTCGGCTCACCTCCTCCCATAATGAAGTTTTCTTCCAAAAATACGGAATAAACTGTTCACTTTACTACGATAATTAAAGCTTGTACCTACTAGATAAACGCAACTCACAACCCAATAAGAAAATCAAAACAAGTGCAGGAATCGACTGCAGGAACGACAGCTCACGAAGATATTTCAGGAACCCGACGTTGCCAGTGTTACCCAAAAACACATTTTATACCAATTTTACAATGTGCGTAACTTAATTCGTCGTAAAAAATTAAAATTAAATTTAACAAAATTCACAGAGAATAAAAACGTTGAATATATTAATTAGATAAATCTACACATATAAAGTATCTCTGCTAGGTTAAGGAAGATAGAAAAATAACGTAAAGTGTATGAAATATATACCTATACCTATAATAAACCTATACCTATATAGAGATATAATTTTTATATCTTCCTTAACCTAGCATATTTTAAAATATCTGGTTCGTCTTTGGTAGTACTGCTCAGTTTTTGTTCTTCTGTCTGTAAATCTTTTTCCTTCTGTTATTTTATGGCCATATAACTGTTTGCTGTCAACAGTATTTATTTTATTGGATTCATGCTGGTTCTATTCTGTTTTTCTATTGCTCTGCTACAATCTTCACCATACCTAATACTGTATCTCCTTCCTTTGTGTATTGGTACTACCAATTAGCGCGTATTTGTTTTATTTGTACCCATAACTCTTCTACATCGTTTGTTGGCCTTTGGAGTGCTATCTTGTTGCACTTGTTATAAACCAGTCATAGTACAATCAATTATCATTTCAATTATTCATTATACACCTTTTCTTGAGTCACTTGTTAGTCTAAAAAGTGTTTGGCGCCTGCGATCTAGCGCCTCACATCACAGTTTGCAAAATATGATCAAATTTTGCTGATTCTACGACACAAAGTTTGCGGCTTAAGATTAAATAAAATAGCTTCATTGTATTCAGATCCGATGTCCCTTGACCTATCACTTGTCCAGTAAGAAAGCCTGTTATAATTTTAAGCTGTCATAAATTAAATCACGCATTTTGGGAACAAAAACAAATTTACTGAATACAACTTACCTTAGTACAAAAGTGTAAGACAAAAAAGTTACAGCCCTTTGAAGTTACCAAATAAAACTTGTTTTATCTCCTCTAAACTCCTTGACATTTTGTAATAAAAATGGACACGTTACTTTCTTGTTCTGAAAGCATTTTTCATAAAAAAGAAACAACAAAATCTAAGCGCACAGAAAAATTTTAAGGGGGGTGTGCAGCACTAAATCCCCCAAACTTTTAAGTACGTTCAAATCAAATGAATTTTGTGGTATCATTAGTTTAACACATTACTTTAAAAAAACCAACCGTAGTCGTAGCAGTAGACTTCAATGCCAAACACACAGCATGGGGATGTACAACAGACACAGCTCCAGGAACAACTCTACTAAGATATTGTGACGACAGAGATAGGATGTTATTCGCTCCAGATGAACCAACAAGAATCAACCCAATAAGAGGACAAAACAACTCAACACTGGATCTTTTCATCACCAAAGATGTAATAATGGAAGACGTCAGGACCTACTTTGATTGCAGTTCGGATCACAAACCAGTAATAGGAAGAATGACATCAAGAGTCGACTTGCCAAGGATAGAACCAGTGGAAAGATGGAGATGGAAAGATGTTAACTGGCCTAACTACAGAAGACAGCTCAACCAAATGGAAATGAAGAGAGAGTTCCGATCAATAGAAGAAGTAGAAGAAAAAATAGAAGAAATCACAAGAAGAATTCAACGTGCCATGGAAGCCAACATCCCAAAATCCATGACGAACAACAGAGGCCTGGTCATCCCAGCAGAACTTCAGAACATCATCAAGGACAGAAACAAGGCCAGAAGAGTATTCCAAAGGACCAGAAGACAGGAATTCAAGGAATACGGAGACATCCTATCTGAAGAAATAAGAGTAAGACTGAGAAGTCTTACTGAAAATCAATGGCACAACAACATCAGAAGAGCCGAAGAAAACCATGGAAACGTTTGGAAAATGTTGAAGGCAAGAAGAAGAGGGAAACAAAAGATGCCACAAATCATGGACAACGAGGGAACATACTACGAAACCCAAGGAAAAGTAGATGCAATTGTTAAAACTTGAGACTTACATATTAAAACTTTCGAGCAACCCCGTATATTACACCTCAAGTTAAGTACACCCCTCGAGAGGGGATGCAAGTAGTGGAGGAGAAGTCAAGTACAGTCCACGCTAATCTCGAGTCAACACAACAACCATTACGACAAGGACGCTATTTTTACATTGATCGTATACAAATATTTTAAATGTGCTATTTTTTTACTTCAATACAGTTTTAGTTTAAAGTGATTTGTTTTTGTGTATTATTACGTGAAATTCCAATAAGATTCAACCTACACCCCAACATAATTGGTCCTTCGAGCCGGATTACCCAGTGATTATTTTGGCTGTTCATTCCATGTAAGCTGAATTCATTTTCGACGCATCGTCCCATTCACACAGTTTATCATCGGAAGACGCGCAGGTATATTCTCTCGTCAAAGGTTAGTGCACATTTCCTTTATTTACCTACTTTATCTTTTATGGTCGTTAAAAGGGTACATTTGTATTTGATTTAATTCAGTGGAAATTTTTATTTTTAGAAGCAGGTATTTTAATCCTTTAACACATTTAGAGATTTCAATATTTTCATTTATACATTAATACATTGTATTGTAGCGTCCTTAAATTTATTTCAATTTTTTCATTTTACATTTATAAATTATTACAAGTTGAAATATTATCTTTTTTAGTTTTTTATTCACTCGCAAAGCAGTTTTACACACATTACATAATTCATTTTAATTGTTTTTTGCATATACATACATACATTTTTACTTTTGTGAATAAGTTAGATTGTTACTATGGCTGACATCGCTACAGCAAAAACTAAACGCTCTTCAATCAAAGGTTCTGTAACCCGTTTTAGTACGTATTTTAATTCTATCAAAAACAAACCTTTAGAACAAATTAACTTTAGGGATTTACAACTTAGACTTGATAAAATTGAAAAACTTTTTGATGATTTTGACAACGCTCAATCACTTATCGAGGCCTCTGATGAGGATTACACTGCAAACGCAGATACTATCCATGGCATTGAAAGGTCGTCTTTCGAAACGCCGTTTTTCCATATTACTAGCGCTGTGCGAGATTTTATTGACACCAATTTTTCAAAACCCTGTAGTCAGGCTGCTCAAGCTTCAAATTCGACAATTTCGTCCGAAAATACTTCACAAAGATCTATTAATATTAGGTTACCCGCTATTAACTTGCCCTCCTTTGAGGGTGACTATGAAAATTGGTTGTTTCTTTAGGGATACATTTAATTCCATCATTCATACAAACACAGAACTTTCCGATATTCAGAAATTCCACTATCTAAGATTATCTTTACAAGGTATTGCCGCAGAAACAATACGTAACTTGGACATTTCTGAGGCAACATATGAAACTGCGTGGGAGTTACTAAAAGACAGATTCGAAAACAAATCTCTTCTTGTCAATAATCACATTAAAAAATTATTTAACCTACCTAAGATTTCAAAAGATTCACATCATGATCTACGTACTTTAGTTGATGGTTTCCAAAGACATTTACGCTCTCTTGAGTCCTTAGACTTAAACACAACATCTTGGATGCCCTTATTATATATTTAATTACCACGAAACTAGACAAACGCCACACACAAAGAATGGGAACTGTCAATTAAAGACGATAAGAACACATTACCCACTTTGAGTAGCTTAACTGAATTTTTAAAAGGTAAATGTAGAGTCTTAGAATCTATTTAATCATCAAGAAGAAAAATCTCGTCCCAAATTTTCATCTACAGGCAATCCCAAATCCAAGAATTTCTTGTCAACGAATAATTCTTCCAACTGTTCTTTATGCAAACAAAAACATCTAATTTTACACTTGTCCTGATTTTCTCAAATTAGAAACGTCATTAAGACATAATGAAGCAAAACGCTTGCGACTTTGCATAAATTGTCTTCGTAGTGGTCATTTCACTAAGGAATGCAAATCTTCCGGGTGTCGTAAATGTGGAAAAATACACCACACACTTTTACACTTTCAAAGTAACTCACCAAAGCTTACTGAAACCAGTAATCAAACCATCAGCAGTTTACCTTGCTCTAGTCCAAGTACATCAGAAGGGTCTAATGCACTGACAGCACGTAACATTTCGTTTGAGCACAACTCTACTACTTTGCTGTCAACTGTAAAAATAAACGTCTTTGACATCTCAGGTAATGAACACGAGGCTCGTGCACTTCTAGATAATGGCTCTGAAAGTAATTTCATTTCCCAGCGCCTATTAAATCTTCTAAGGTTGCCTACAACCAAAACGCATTTTTCTATTTCTGGTATAAACCAAACAAATTCTATTGTAAGCTACAGAACATCGGTCAAATTTAAGTCCAAAACTTAAACTTTTCTCAAGTAATTTCTTGCTTAGTGCTTCCTGAAATTGCAGGAAATTTACCTTCTGTCACATTCGATAAGAGAACACTTAATATCCCTTCTAATATTACTCTGGCTGATCCAGGCTTCAATATTTCTTCTCCTATTGATCTTCTTATCGGTGCAGACATCTTCTGGAATTTAATTTGTATTGGTCAGATTAAATTATCACCTGGACAACCGATTCTTCAAAAAACTAAACTTGGATGGATTATCTCAGGTCCATTATTTCCAAACAATACCCTTACAGCCAGAACTACATGCCATTTGTCGACCATAAACAAGTTGAGCATTGAAGATCAACTTCAAAAATTTTGGGAAATTGAAGAATGCCCAAAAATAAAATTTTTGTCTAACGAAGAACTTTCTTGTGAAGATCACTTCTTAAAAACAACCTCTCTTAATTCTTCTGGTAGGTTTGTAGTATCACTTCCCTTGAAATCTTCCGTCGAGAATCTAGGCGACTCTAAGACTACAGCAACAAAAAGGTTCTATTCTCTCGAAAGAAAACTTAATGCGAATTTTGAATTAAAAGATGATTACACTCGATTTATCGATGAATATTTATCCTTACACCATATGTCCGTTTCACCCTTTGAAACCACAGGCTATGAGTTCTT